CCGGACTCCGGTCCGATGTCGGGCAAGCCCGATGCAGTATATACGATTATGTTATATGTTATGTGTTAAGTGTTCCGGGGTAAGCCCGATGTCGGGGCAAGCCCGATGTATGTTAGTCATTATGCCATGTATTATGTATTTCGGGGCAAGCCTAATGTATGCTAGTTTATGTGTTATATGTTATTTGTTCCGGGCTTCGGTCCGATGCCGGGGCAACCCCGATGCAGATTATGTGAGTATGTTATGTATGTGTCGGGGTAAGCCCGATGTCGGGGTGAGCCCGATGCCCGATGCGGTCGGATGTCGGGGTGAGCCCGATGTCGGGTAAGCCGATGCCGAGATTCGTCCCGATGCAGTTGGGAGTAGTCCCAGAGTTATGTGATTGTTATATGTTATGTGTATGGTATGTGGTAGTTTGGGGGAGACTCACTAAGCTTCGTGCTTACAGTTTTCAGTTTTTGTTTCAGGTACTCAGTTTTCAAAAGAGGAGCTCGGAAAGATTGCAGTGCACACACCATTTGTTCAGCCTGGGATGGTTATACTCTGATATACTTGACAGTTGTTATAATATTTTGAGATACATTGTTTATGATTTTTATGCGATATATGATGACTATGGTTTTATTACTGATTTAAAACGAATTTTTTTGGACTTTATTTTTGGGATGTTACAAGTTGGTATCAGAGCCTTGGTTTGAGGGATTCGGGACACTCTCGGGTGTGTCTGGACTCAAACTAAGAACTTGGTATGAAAATTTTCAAAAGAAAATCATTTTATGAAGAAAATTTTGAAATGAGAAAAGAACTTTGAAAAAGAAAGGAACTTTGAAAGGAGAAAAGGGTGTGGTGCACGCAATCAGCCGAGCTCAAGTAAGTACTCCCGAATTACCCATACAAGTTTATGTTATGATATGTTTTTCAGCTTTATGTGAACAACATGCTAGATTAGGACTAAGGATCTGGGAAGGATGCCTTATGTGCCTATTATATGTGTATCAGCTTTATGAGAATTGCATGCTAGTAAGGACTAAGGATCTAGGAAGGATGCCTTATGTGCCTATTATATGTATCTCAACTCTATGAACCACATGTTAGTACATATTAGTCAGTGATGGGCTGAATGTGATATGCTTGATTATGTTTACTCAATGCTCGAATGCTGCTTGCTTTGTGCTTTTTAGGAGTTCTAGTTGTCTTTCACTAACTAGTAAACGAATATGTTAAGTTACATATTGCAAGGACTAAATAATTTCAGAAGGTTAGGTCTAGCCCTATTTCGCAGCTCTTGTTTGAGTCCAACCGTTGTAGGGTAGGATCTCTCATTCGAAGAATTATCTAGTCTGAGTAATATGTAATAGTATTCGCGAGCTAGTTAGGGGAAGAAAGCAGGGAATTCTTATGCAGCTGATAGCGGAGAGTGGGTTGGTGATTACCCTTGGGCAAGCCTAGGAAGAGTTTAGTATGAGATCAACAGTAGTAGTAGAAGGGACTTGGTGGAGTCGAGGCAGTTCTTGAGAAAAGTACGGATAAATGTGGAAGGTAGTATGAGCCCGTACTACTGAAAGCAGAGGATCCGTACTCGAATCAAGGAAGGTTGAGATGAACCCAGGGAACTTGTAGTGTGTGAGATCCCTCGAGTTATGATGAGTACTATGAAGATTGTGCTGGTATGTTTTCGAGTATAGTGACGCTATGTGATAGACCAGATGGCAGTTCTGGTGCCGACGAGGGATCAGGCTCGGACTCTGGAGTCGGGCAACTTAATGGTCAGATGAGGGAGTTCATTCCATCTGAGGGTACGCGCAATATCATTGAACAGACTCTAGTGATCTTCAATATGATCAAAGGAGGGTATTTTAGAGATTTATGATGAGAGGCTGAGTGCATTCTGCAAAGAGATAACAGCCATGATAGGGACGCGTACGTTGATGGTTCAGGAGTTCAGAGCTTGTGAAGCTCCAATCATGGGACTAGGGACCCCATTGCTAGCAGCAGGTGATTGGCAGATATCGCCAATATTTTCGTACCAGCCGTAGTCTCGAAAGGAGACAAGGACCAACTTGCTTCCTGCCTCCTGAAGGACAGGGCACGTGATTGATGGGAAGAGGTTGGTAGAACGTTGAATGATGATGTGGTTGATGCTATGTCAGTGGATGACTTTTAGACCAGATTCCAGCCAGAGTGTGCCCAGGCGATTGAGGCACAATAGTTGGCGCAAGAGTTGTTAGATCTCCACCAGACGAATGAGAGTGTGGCAGAGATCACTGCCAAGTCTCGGGAAAGAGCTTATATGGTATCATGGTATGCAGCAGATGAGGAAATGAAGAAGGTAAGGTATCAGAATATACCGTAGAATGATAGTAGGGAGATCTTGAGTATCTCGGGGTGCAAGACCCTGAATGATATGACTTATAGAGCTTGAGAACGGGATGTTAACTTGGAGCACATTGGGAAGAGAGAACCAGGTCAGTTGCTTATATTGAATGGTCTCGGGAAGAGACCCAAAATTTCAGATCAGCTTTTGAGAGGCCTGCAGGGCTAGATTCAGTACAGCACATGCGGGAAACTGCACGATGGAGTCTTTCGTTCCAAGGGTTTGAGTAAGTGTAACCCTGAGTTATCCTCTGTTTGTGTCTGAATTATATTTTCAGGAGATGTATTATGCCAATTGCATACCGAGAAGCATTAGTGAATAGTGATAGAGCACTTCCCAAATTGCGGGATTAGGAGAGTACAACGTCATCTTGGTTTATTCCAAGACTGAGGAGCAGCACGGGGAGCACCTGAGGGAGGTGCTAGAGACTCTGAGGAGGGAGATACTTGTTGCAAAGTTCTCCAAATGTGGGTTCTGGTTACGCGAGGTGCAATTTCTTGGGCACCTTGTCAACCGGAAGGGTATTCTAGTCGATCCGGCCAAGATAGAGGCCATGATGCAATGGGAGATTCCGAGGTCTCCAACTGAGATTTGGAGCTTCCTGGGTCTAGCGGGTTATTACCGGAGATTTATTCGGGACTTTTTCTAAGATTGCAGTTCTTTTGATCCGACTAACCAAGAAGTCGGTGTCCTTTTGCTGGGGGTTTGAGCAACAGACAACTTTCGAGACTCTCAGACAGCGGTTGTGCGAGACCCCAGTTCTCACCCTGCCAGAGAGTGTAGATGATTTCGTAAGTTATTGTGACGCTTAGATCACGGGCATGGGTACAGTACCGATGCAACGGGGTCATGTGATAGCAGACCTTAGGAAATCAGGTTGGGGATTCCAGTCAGGACATGAGTTCAGTTGTGTTTTATGTATACCGAGAGGGGACTGATGCCAGGCAAGGCCTGATGAATGTGTTGGGTGGGGCCCATTGCAAGTTACTGACAGATTTATACCGGGCGGGGACCGATGAATGTCGGGTGAGGCCTATTGTATGTATGGTATGTGGTATTTTGGGGAACTCACTAAGCTTTATGCTTATGGTTTAAGTTTATTTGCAGTTACTTCCGGATCGAAGGGGAAGGGTCCGACCTGATCGCAACACATCCACTCGTGTTCAACATTTTTATGATTTTGGGATTGTACTCTGATAACTACTTTCACATTAACATATTTTTGATAGCTTGATATGAATACTTGATAGTGTTTGGTTGAATTAAAAACGAAATTTTTTACTCTTGATTTTTGGCTTGTTACAGACGCATGCGAGCTTTTGCTTACTATGTTCTAGTCACACAAAAGGAAAATAATATTAGTCATCATTTTATCGTTTTGTGTGTATGTTTTCTAAGGGGACCAAACTTGCTGACATACGAAAGTCTAGGGACCTAACCTACACACATGGAAATATATAAAAGTTGAAAGGGTGGAAATTATTGTTGTTCAAATTTGAAGGGGTAAAAGTGATATTTTACAAAGTAAAGTGTGGAAAATGCCATTATAAAAATTAAGGGGGTAGAAAGTGTCGTTTTACAAAATAAAGGCGAGGAAATTACCAATGTACGAAATTCTAGGGATTAAATCTGCAAACATAATAAACTTTTGTGACCAAAATATGAAATAAGAAAGTAGCTTTGTGGCAAAAGTCTAAAAACCAAAACTATTGTGACAAAAGTTAAAAAGAAAAAAAGTTTACTATTCATACATAGGTTGGTTTTTGTGTCAATCTCCTTTAATATGACAAAAATCGGTAACCTGCATAGAAACATAAACACAAGTTCTTCGTATATAACCGATGATTAAATCAAAGTAACCCCGAATGAGATTGATGCAGATTGAACCAGTTCAAAGGGGCGATATACGTCAAACTACTTCATCTTTAGGATAAGAGCTCCAACGAGTTAACAAAGATTCACCAACGATTTCTCCTTCGCCATCGATCAAAATTGTTTTAAGATGTTTGTGATGGATTCACGTTCTTGCTGTTCAAGGATAATTCAACGATAATAAATGGTTCTCGTTGATGGGGTTGCCGATAAATGTATATGCTCGTTAGTAATCCATTTGTTGTAGTGTAGTTTGATACAAACAAGATTTGAGATCCAAGAAACTTTATAGGTGATATCTTGGGATTCCGATTTAATGATCCTGAAAAATATGGCCTACCACCGGTAATGAGCCCATATCCGATGAAGGAAAACAAAATGACATGAATTGTGATAAAACTAATCGTTTGATTATATGTTATGATTCTATTTGTGGTTGTGTTTCCGTCTTGTGTGTGGTAGAGAAAGAAGAAAAGCTATGATTTCATGTTGGGATGAACAAAAATAGAAACCCAAGATTCTTGCCGACCTTTAAATTATTAATTACACTATCGATACAATTGCCAATTTCTTATAAAATCTATAGACGTGCGATGAAATTATCAATTCCCTTATAAAAAAAGGTGATTATTTTATTACAAATATTTCAATATCCCAAAACTTTAATGGTTAAAGTGACTTGGTTTGTAAATTACAACGAGTTGATAATTGTTAGGACTATTAACTAAAGGACTAAAAAGTGTATTTGTCAATAGTTCCGATCAAGAGAAAATTATTAAGAAATAAACCTTCTTCTTCCTCTTCTTCTTCATGGGCCTGGTCTCCCAAAAGTCGTACCGCCAACCTCCCATAATCTCACTCAACAACAGCGCACACATAGAAGAGAGTGTTCAACCAAATCCAATCCATTTCCCCTTTCGATTGACATCAAAATCCCTAAACCCCTCTTCCAATTTCGTATTCAGATCTGAATCTGCACATTTTCATTCGATTTAAGAACAAACTTTTACTGGGTGTGGTGATTCATGGCTTCCCCTGGAAACCAGAACCAACAACCAGGCGGAGGACCATTCGATGTTCAAAGATTCTTCAACCCTTCTTCTTCCCCACCACCAATCACAACAAACCCTAATACCACCTTCCAAAACCCTAACATCCCTTATCCTCCACCGTCCTCGGCCGCCTCGTATCCTCCACCCACCGTCAGCGGCGCGCTTTACTCATACTCTCCTCAAACCAACCCTCTTTACCACCCTCAATTCCATATCCCATCACCCCCTTTTCAACCGGACAACCCCATGCCTTCCTCTAACTTACAACACCAGCGATCCGTTCCTTATCCTACACCCCCTCTCCAACCCCCTAGCCCTAATAACAACCCTAACCCTAACCATGGTGCCCGATTGATGGCTCTTTTAAGCGCTCCGCCACCAACCACCATCGATACCTCGTCACAATCACCCATGCCTATGCCTCAACCTACTAATCCCATGCTTCCGTCATCGTTGGTTCCTACATTGCATTCTGGTTCCGGTCCATTGCGGATGCCTAGCAGTAAGCTACCAAAGGGACGTCATTTGAGCGGTGATCGTGTTTTATATGATATAGATGTTAGGCTGCCTGGAGAGGTTCAACCTCAACTTGAGGTCACTCCCATTACTAAGTATGGGTCTGATCCTGGTCTCGTTGTGGGTCGTCAGATTGCTGTTAACAAGACCTATATATGTTATGGTTTGAAACTGGGAGCAATCAGGGTTCTTAATATAAACACCGCTTTAAGATCACTGCTTAAAGGTCTTGCTCAGGTTTGTTACTCTCCTTTTTAAGTTTAGTATAATCCTGCTTCCAATATGTTCATTGATCCAATTAAACAATCTGTCCTTCTCAGAGGGTTACAGATATGGTTTTCTTCGCCGAGGATGTTCATCTTCTAGCTAGGTAAGAACTTTCTTAATGCACATAACTTCTTTTGTTCTATGTTTGGATTATAACAAAACTATCTTATCCAGTGCTAGTATAGATGGACGTGTTTATGTGTGGAAGATTACAGAAGGCACAGATGAAGAGGATAAGCCACAGATCACCGGGAAGATAGTTGTTGCCATTCAGATTGTAGGAGAAGGCGAATCTGTTCATCCCAGAGTTTGTTGGCACTGTCACAAACAAGTAAATCCTTTTCCCATCTTGCTTATGTGCTTTCACAGATTACAAAAAACTTAAACTTGATGCATGATTTCATGTGTTGCAGGAAGTTCTTGTTGTAGGAATTGGAAAACGTGTGTTGAGAATTGATACTACAAAGGTTGGGAGAGGTGAAGTGTACTCTGCAGAAGAACCTCTCAAATGCCCTGTTGATAAGTTGATTAATGGAGTTCAGTTTGTTGGTAGTCATGATGGAGAAGTGACTGATTTATCAATGTGTCAATGGATGACTACCCGTTTGGTTTCTGCTTCAGTAGATGGAACTGTTAGTTAACATCTCAACATTCATTTTCATAATTTCATCCCCTTGACATATACACATTACATAATCACATATACCAATCTATGATGTAGCTACAACTAAATGAGTAATGTTTCTTTAAAATTTTCTTAAACAGATAAAGATTTGGGATGATCGCAAGTCCTCTCCAATTGCAGTTTTGAGGCCTCATGATGGTCTACCTGTCAACTCTGTCACATTCTTAACTGCTCCTCAACGCCCAGATCACATCATACTTATCACAGGGGTAATAATTTCTGACCAAAGTTTCAAACTTTTTTGTTTTCTTTGACATGTTTTATTCATTCTGATATCTGGATACAATCACAGGGTCCATTGAATCGTGAAATAAAAATATGGGCTTCTGATAGTGAAGAAGGATGGTTGCTTCCTAGTGATGCTGACTCATGGCATTGTTCACAAACATTGGAATTGAAGAGTTCATCTGAGGCTAGAGTTGAAAATGCATTCTTTAATCAAGTGGTTGCATTATCTCAAGCAGGACTTCTCTTACTAGCAAATGCAAAGAAAAATGCTATTTATGTTGTCCACTTGGAATATGGTCTCAATCCAGAAGCTACTCACATGGATTACATTGCAGAGTTTACAGTAACAATGCCAATATTAAGCTTCACAGGTACTAGTGATTTGTTACCTCATGGAGAACAAATTGTTCAGGTTTACTGTGTCCAAACACAAGCAATTCAGCAATATGCTTTGGACATGTCTCAATGTTTACCCCCTCCAATCGATAGTGTTGCTGCTTCTGTTGCATATGAGAGATCAGATTCAACTGTTTCACGTGATGCAATTGCACCAAATGCTGAAGTTATAACTGGTTTGGAAGCTTCAGCTTCTGGAAATAAGACTGAAATACCCCTGCCTGTTTCTGTATCAAATTCTGATGGGAGTTCTATTTTGAGACAACCCTCAACTTCTTCTTTACCTGAAGTTCCTCTTTCAGTTGAAACACCTCCTGTTGCATCAAGTCCTACTTTGTCAAGAAAACTTTCAGATTTGAAAAGTCCAGTCAGCATCCATGATGAGGCAAAAGTTATTGAGTACTCAGTGGATGCTGCTCATTCAAACATGTCTAATGATTCAATAATTGATGAAAGTAAAGATGGTGGAAAGTTTAAGCATCCAACTCATTTGGTAACTCCTGCTGAATTAATGGCAACATTGTCCTCTGAAATAAGTCATGTTTCTGAGCAAAAGAATGATGTGGATGCAAACATACAGGATGTGATTCTAAACCCTGATTCACAAAATGCTGAGGTGGAAGTCCAAGTTGTTGGTGAAACTGGAAAAAGTCAAAACCTTGAACCTGTTTCTCAAACAGAGCTTCATGCTTTTGCTTCAGAGCAAATGGAGAAATCTTTTTCATCACAGGCATCAGATTTTCGGCGTGTGGAAACATACTTTGATAATCCTGGAGAAAGTCAAACAGTTGGTCAAGGTCAAACTTCAGGTGGACTTGAAGAAGTTGTTCAAGATGCAAAAATTGATCTTTCAGGACAAGTTGAGACAGTGATAGTGACACCTCCCCAAGTGACTTCATCTTCTGGAAAAGGGAAAAAACAGAAGGGAAAGAATGTTCAAGGATCAAACTCAAGTCCATTAAATGTTTTTAATTCAACAGATTCTTCTAATGATCCAGGAATCAGTTCTTCAAGTGTTCCCTCTGTTGAAGCCATACTTTCACAACTTAATTCCATGCAAGAAACCATCACTCAGGTGTTACTCAACCAAAAGGAAATCCAAAAACAGACTCCAGGAATGGTGACATCATCAATCACAAAAGAAGGTAGAAAAATCGAGGCATCCATAGGAAAAAGCATGGAGAAAACTTATAAAACTAATTATGATGCTCTTTGGGTTAAAACACAAGAAGAGTTTGCAAAACAGGAAAAGTCAAACCGAGATCGAAGTCAACAAATCTCAGCTTTGGTTACAAATGGCTACAAGGAGTTACTTGTAACATGGGAGAAAATGTTGAAGAAAGAAACATCTGCACTTGTGACAGCTGTTGTTCGTGCAGTTTCTCCAGTTATTGAGAAAACAGTGGCTTCAGCCATCACAGAGGCTTTTCAGGTGACAGACATTAAAGGTTTTTCTTTTTTAAAACATTTCAAATTATAGAAATCTGATTAAAAAAATTTCAACTTTCAGAGAGGTGTTGCTGATAAATCTGTAAACCAACTTGAGAAATCTGTTAATTCTAAACTTGAAGCTACTGTTGCAAGACAAATCCAAACTCAGTTTCAAACTTCTGGCAAACAAGCATTACAGGTATGACTTATGAGAGCTAATTTGTTGTTGACTTATTTGATACTTTAATAACATATTTTCAAAGATATTAATTTTGTTTTTTCTTATATTACAGGAAGCACTTAAGTCAAGTATGGAGGGTTCTGTAGTCCCTGCTTTTGAGATGTCTTGTAAGGCCATGTTTGATCAAGTTGATGCATCTTTTCAAAAGGGAATGCTGGAACACACAGCTGCAGCTCTTCAGCAAACTGAGTCAACTCATTCTCCTTTAGCAATTGCTCTGAGGGTAAAAACTAAAAACTAAAAACTAAAAAGTCATCAACTTTCTTTTTTGTTCTTTCTGTAATTGTTATTTACTATTTTACCCTTTTGATTGTTGACAGGACGCGATAAATTCAGCATCCTCCATGACTCAAACATTAAGCGGTGAACTGGCTGATGGTCAAAGGAAGTTGGTAGCTCTTGCACTTGCAGGGGCAAATTCGGAATCAGTGAATCCTTTGATCTCCCAAATCAGCAATGGACCTTTAGGCAGTTTCCATGATAAGGTTAGTTTTAGTTTACCTCTTTTGTTATCATTTTAAATTGTTTATTTATAATATATATTAATATCTGAATTATTCAATAATACAAAAAATAGATGGAAGCACCATTGGATCCAACAAAAGAGCTATCTAGATTGGTATATGAACACAAATATGAGGAGGCTTTCACTTCTGCTCTTCAAAGAAGTGATGTTTGGATTGTGTCATGGTTATGCACTCAGGTATATAATATATGTTTAATTGTATCTGAAAAATGAAAAAATCTTTTTATGCTTTTTCTAATATTTGATTGTTGGGAATTACTAGGTTGACTTACAGGGGTTATTAGCAAGGAATCCTTTGCCATTGAGTCAAGGGGTACTTTTGTCATTGGTACAACAGTTGGCATGTGATATTGGGAACGAGACATCAAAGAAACTTGCATGGATGATGGATGTGGTTGTAGCCATAAAGCCATCAGATGGGATGATAGCAATGCATGTTAGACCAATATTTGAGCAAGTTTACTCCATTTTAAACCATCAACTAAGTCTCCCCACTACTTCAGTTTCAGAGCTTTCAAGCATACGTGTTGTTGTCAAGCTTATCAACTCCACACTCAGGACCCTGTAGTAATGTAAGTAAAATTCCATTTATATATTCGTACAAAGTTTTAGAATTTTGTAATGAAATGGGTTGTTTTCTTCTTCTTCTTCTTTCTATATTATGGATGGATGTTTGTTTGTTTGTTTTAGGTTGTGTTGATGCAAAATTTGTACATTTGTTTTTTATGTAATGAATCTTTATTGTAGAGGTTGTTTGTACTTTGTATGTGGTGGTGTTTTATTCAATCCAAAGTTTTGAGAAATGTTATTCTTTTGTTTGTTTTATGGTGTTTTGAGGTTTAATACTACTACTACACTTTATGGTTCAAATTGTTTGGATCAACCTAAAAAACTCGCATTTTTAAAAGACAACAAACAAATAACTTAGTGCTCTTTAACAAAAGTTGAAAAATGTTAAGTTTGTTTTAAGCTTTTTAATGATTACAATGATAGTAGTCTAAAAGTCTATGTTTAGCTAGCATTAAGAAAATTAAGGAAAAATCTTAATCCTGTAAAACATGATTTGTGTTCATATTTTGGAACATTTGTCTAACTTTTCTTTTTTACAAAAAGTTGCTTCTCAAATTTGTTTTGTTGTAAATTGACATCTTCACAGAGAAAAATGTCATGAGTGCTGTATTTTAAATTTAAGAAAAAATAATGTAGATGTTTAAAATAGTAAATGTAGTTTTATAATTAGATTCTTAAGTTTAATATAATATTGATTATCATATTTTCTGATAAATAGATAATAAGTTCAAACTACAAGAAAAATAAATGCATACCATTTTTTTAACAAGGACGTGATTATCATAGGGTATTTTATAATAACTTAAAATGGTAATGTATTTCTTTTTGATTTGTACATATTTAGTCACTGATTTTTTTTGTTTATATCTATAAGGAAAACGATCATTAGCGGCAACAAAAGCTGCCGGTAATAAGTCAAGTTGTCGCCGGTAATAGTAATAGCGGCGACAGCGAATAAGTCGGCGCTACTGCTTCGTCGCCATTGATCAACTTGTTGCCGCTAATGACCCTGTCGCCGCTAATGAGGTGTGTCGCCAGTAATAACTCTGTCGCCGGTAATAACAATTTTCATTTTTTTTTAATTTTTTTTAATTAACGATTTTGGTTGCCGGTAATAATGTCCTCAGTAATTACATAACAACATTTGATTAAATATCAAATATAATAGTGTCGATGCTAATTACAAAACAAACATCCGATTATAATTAATTAAATATCAAAAGTCATAATATCCGATTAAATATAAAAAGTAATAATGTCGCCCGGTATTAGTGTCGCCGATAATTACAAAAAACAACCAAAGTTTTACAATCTACCAAGTAGCAAAGCGTGACAACGTATACAAATAAAACTCATCCCTACATACCATCATCTTCGCTCCCATCGTTTCCTCGATTATTTTGGGATTGAAAAAACGAATAAAGCTCATCCCTACATGCCGGGTCGTTGAACATTGCACGAAGATTTTCCAACTACATAATTAATAACAACATATATAAACTTATAAGTTAAATTATCAAACATAAAAAAAAACTATCAAAATACATTGTTATTTTTAAACTAAGACAAAAACCAAAGTATGTTGTTATTTTTTGCACTTGGGACAAAAACCTAATTACCAAAGTTTTTAGCAAATAATCACCACAAAACCAAAATTACCAAATCAACATACATTTTACGATGCTAAAGTAGATTGCTATTTTTAAACTAAGACAAAAAACCAAAGTACGTTGTTATTTTTTGCACTTGGGACAAAAACCTAATTACCAAACTTTTTAGCAAATAATCACCACAAAACCAAAATTACCAAATCAACATGCATTTTACGATGCTAAAGTAGATTGCTATTTTTAAACTAAGACAAAAAACCAAAGTACGTTGTTATTTTTGCACTTGGGACAAAAACCTAATTACCAAACTTTTTAGCAAATAATCACCACAAAACCAAAATTACCAAATCAACATGCATTTTACGATGCTAAAGTAGATTACTATTTTTAAACTAAGACAAAAAACCAAAGTACGTTGTTTTTAGTATACATAATTAGCATTGTTTTTTTTTTTCAATCAACATTTTTTTTACAATTAAAAGAATAAAAAAAATAAAAAAATAAAAAAAATTAAATTAAAATTTTTTATTGATGTGTTTTTTTTAATTAATTTGAATTACAATTACTTGTAATTTATATAGGAAAAGGTTGTAAGTATTAAATAAAAGGGTCAAAGATCCAACAAATCAATTTTTTCCACACGTTTGTTTTATTTATACTAGATGTACAAATATACCCATGATTATTGAAAAAAAAATTGTTTGTTTCTTTTAATATGTTTAACAATTAGTTTTTAATGAATAAAATATTAAATAAAGAAAAATTAATAATTTGATATATCCATAAAAAAACATTTCTTACTATTATACATTTTTATATATATTTTTTTATTTATAACATTTTTTTTCAATTATACGATTGTACTTTAAACAATTATATTATGTTGTTGTGTTGTTCTTTTTTACCGTCGAGATTATATATATATATATATATATATATATATATATATATATATATATATATATATATATATTATTTATAACATTGTATAAATATGTTGCAAAATAAAATATTTAAAAACTAAAAAAGACATGAAAATATAAATATGAAACTATAGAAATATAACATTATAAGTTAATTTGAAGATTATAAGTTAACTATAGAACTTATTGGTTAATTGGGGTTAGCTTGGGGAAGAAACTAGAAACTTTCTAGTATTTGATATAAGTTTTTAAACAATTTATAACATTTTTTGGGGTTTTCAATTATAACAATATTTTTTTTTATTTTTTTTTTCAAGTAGAGCATCCTACTGATACCAAACCACAGACTTTTACAGAATACATAAGAGCATGAAATTCACATACTGCACAGACATATACCACATAGACACCAAAGACAAAATAGGCACATACACACAAAATAACAGCCACTTAAACCAAATACCCATAATTTCACATATATAGAGAATAACATCCTATTTAGACCAAATACACAAATTTCACATTCATATACCACATTTACAACAAACATACATACATTCACATACACACACAATAACATCCTACTTATAACAAACACATATAATTTCACATATATATAGATAATAACATCATATATATACTTCTACCAAATACTCATATACCAAATATACATCAAGCACACATACATTGGCATATATACACCAAATTCACATATATTCATACAAATATCAAATATACACACAATTTTCACATAATTTTCACATACAAATACCAAATTCACAAAAAATTGAAATAATAGAACCTGTAGTGGCGGAAATCAACGGATATGTAGCCGGAAAAATTGGTCTTCACCCGAAAATACCCTCACCCGTAAACCCAAAGACAGCACCACCAAAAACACTGAAATTGAACAATTTCTTGCAATTTAATCATCAAATGCAGCTAGAAATCGAAATTAACATACAAATACAAAGAGATACAAGAAATTCAACTTACCTTTCTTCAATAGATGGAGCTAGAAATCGGTCCTAAGAAGCCCTAACCACCCTTGATCCCTAATCTCACACAATGTGGGGAGATATGTTGTTGGAATCAACTAATTGAACACAAAATTGGGGGAACTTGGAAGAGGCGCAGCGTATAGCAGCAGCAAACATAATGAAAATGGGAAGAAATGAGCAATTGCGTGCGTTTTTTTTAATCTGCGAGAGCTTTTAGCGGCGACAACTAGGGCTTTACCGGCGAATCAAGTCAATAGCGGCGACAATCTGGAGGGAAGGGTACCGCGTCATTTTTTAGGTAACTATTAGCGGCGACGTTTTAGACTTTTAGCGGCGACACAAATATCGCCGGTATTAGGTTTGTGCGGATAAGGGACCCCAACCGTTAGATTAGATACTTGATCGAAAGGCTAAGATCTAACAGAGGGGGAAAATGCAGATTCGGGTGATAAGCCTTTAGCGACGACACTATTACCGGCGACATGAACTTTTAGCGGCGACTCTAGCATTTGTCGCCGCTAAAAGTCCATGTCGCCAGTAGAAGTGTCGCCGCTAAAGGCTTATATTCTTGTAGTGATATTTGCCCATTTAATTTGTTTTTTTTGTCCATATCTTACCCTTATGACCGATTGGTGTGAGTTTAGCAAGTTTCCGACGGTCTTTGCATCTTTGGCGAGACTTCGCTTATCTTCTCTGGCGAGTCTCCAACAATATGATTTTTTCGGCTAGTTGTAACATACACAACTAAAGTTTCGATTTTTAGATGAACAACTCAAGAACACACACACATCACACTAGAGTTCGATTTTTAAATAAAAACACAAGAACGCACACATACACACATCAAATCTATTTATTTGAAATTGATCAGAGCATCTTGTTCTTGTTTGAGTTTTGAAAGCATGTGTGAGTTCTTGAACAGAAATCATGTGTGTGTTCTTGAACAAAAATCGATGTGTGTGTGTGTGTTCATCTTCTTTCCAGAAATCAAATGATCTTCAAGGTTTGTAGATCTTCATCGTGTTCCTCTTCTTCCCAAAAATCAAACGATTTCAAAAGTGTTCGTGTGTATGTGTTCATACTCGAACGTCAGTTCTAGGTTGGAGGTTGAAGACAATGATCATATCTGGGTTGGAGGTTGAAGACGATGAACATCAAATCTGGAACAACACATACCACCTTTCAATCCCCATCAAACACAATCAACTGAAAATCATAAACCCTAGAAATCAATTATAATGGTGGCTTGGAGGTTGAAGACATTGAACAATAATATGATTTATATGTATGTGTGTGTTCATCACAAATATGATATATGTATTGGAGTTCTTGAGTTAACGAGAAAAAGAGAAGAAAGAGAGAGAATGAGAGAACATAAACCTTGAACGCTGGAGACTCGTCGGATTTGATGACCGGAACCTCGCAGGAGCTGTCAAATACGTCGGAAACCAGCTAAACCGATGATTGCAAGTCATAAGGATGTTTTTTGAACAGTTCAAACAAGTTCAAGTAGAAAATATGGACAAAAAAAACACGTGATTAAATGTGTACAAATTAAAAAATAAATTATATACTTTTAAGTAATTATCTCTTACAACAATTGTAAGTCAAGCACTTGTAAAAGTGTGTAGAAATGTTTATGAAAGTGATTATATAACATAATAACCAACTATAATAAAATAAGCTATATAAATTA